TGTGAGATGGCACAGGATTAGGCAGTCTTTTCGTCTGTTATGCATGGGGCTGCTATCAGCCTGAACTAATTAGACAGAACCTAACAACAACATCATCGTCAGTCAAGTCATTAATGATGTTGTGATGGTGGTTATGGTGGAACTATGTTGTTGTTAAGTGCCATTGAGTCAGTTCCCACCCATAGCGACCCCATATAGGGTTTCCAAGGAGCAGCTGGTGAGCTTGACCTTGCAGTTCAAATGGCTTTGCAGTCCAGCGCATTTACCAACAGCGCCACACCAGGGTACCATTATGTCTGTTATGATTCTTAGTAACCCTGAAATATTTATGGCAGCAGAAAGCCTTATCTTTCTTCCACTGATCAACTGGTAGATTTGAACTGCTGACCTTATAGATAGCAGCCAAACTCGTAACTCACTATGATACCAGAGTGCCTTAATAAAGGTGTAAACTAAGAGAATACCAAGTTGGATGTCTACAATATACTACTAAGAGTTCATATTTAGTTGGTAACCTTCAGAATCTTTAAATACACCTTTTTAAACATCAGTGAATCAGCAGCTTTTGTTGTTGTTGTTAGGTGCCCTTGAGTCAGTTCCAACTCTTGTCGACCTTATATACAACACAACTAAACACCAACCAGTACTGTGCCAACTTCATAGAGATTTTTATACTTGATCCCATTGCTGTGTCCACTAAGCCAACCTATCACATTGGGGTTCTCCCTCTTTTTTACCGACCCTCCACTTTACCAACCATGATGTCCTTCTCCAGGGACAGATACCTCCTGATAATATGTCCAAAGTATGAGAGATGAAGCCTGGCCATCTTGGCTTCTAAGGAGTATTCTGGTTATACTTCTTCCAACACAGGTTTTGTTGTGTGATTCTTCTTCAGGCAGTTCATGACACTTTTTCTGTTCTTCTCCAACACTATAACTGAATTGCATCAATTCTTCCATATTTGTTGTCCAACTTTCACATGTATATGAGGTTATTGAAAATACCACGGCTTTGGGTCAGGTGCTCCTTAGTCCTCAAACAGACATCTTTGCTATTGAGTTTTTAAAAGGGTTTGTACAGCAGATCTGCCTAATGCAACACTTGATTTGATTTCTTGACTGCTGCTTCCATGAATGTTAATGGTGAATCCAAGCAAAATGAAGTCGTTGGCAACTTCAATCTTTTCTCCATTTATCTTGATGTTATTTATTGGTCCCGTGGTGAGTTTTGTTTGTTTGTTTGTTTTGTTGTTGTTGTTGTTGTTTTTTACAAAGAGGTGCAACCCATATTGAAGGCTGTGGTATTTGATCTTCATCCGTAAATATTTCAAGTCTTCTTTGCTTTCAGAAAGCAAGGTTGTATCATTGTCATATCTCAAGTTGTTAGTGAGTCTTCTTCAATTCTGACGTCATGTTCTTCTTCATATAACACAGTTTCTCAGATTATTTACTCAGAGTACAGATTGAGTAAGTATGGTAAAAGAATACAACCTTGGCACATAGCTTTCCTTATTTTAAACCATTCAGTGTTCCATTGTTCTATTAAAAAAACGTCCTCTTGGCCTACAAACAGGTTCCTCAGGAACACAGTTAAGTGTTCTGAAAAATTAATTCACTGCAATTTTGTCCATAGTTTACTCCAATCCACACAGTGAAAAACCTTTGTGTAGTCAATAAAGCATAGGAAGACATCTTTCTGGTATTCTTTGCTTTCAGCCAAGATCCATCTTATGTTATCAATGATGTATATCGTTTCATGTCCCCATCTCAATCTGATGTGAATTTCTGGCAGTTCTCTGACAATATATAGTTGCAACCATTTTTTGAATTGCCTTTTGTAAAACATTCCTTACATGTAATATTAATGATACTATCCTATGATTTCCACATTTAATTGAATCTCCTCTTTTTGGAATGAGCACAGATATGGATTTCTTCCAGTCAGTTGGCCAGATAGCTGTCTTCCAAATTTCTTGGCAAAGAGGAGTGAGTGTCTCCAGTGCAGTACAAATTTTTGAAAAGTTTCAATTTGCATTCCATCAATTCCCAGAGCCTTCTTCTTTGTTAATACCTTGAGTGCACCTTGGACTACTTCCTTCAGTAACATAGGCTATTGATCATATGTTATCTTTTGTAATGGTTGAACACTGACCATTTCTTTGGGTACAGCATTTTTCCATCTTGTTTTGATGCTTTCTGCATCATTTAACATTTTGTCCATAGAAGCCTTTAATATTGCAAGTCAAAGTTTGAATTTCTCCTCAGTTCTTTTCAGCTTGAGAAATGCTGACTATGTCCTTCACTTTTTGTGTTCTAATGCCATGTTGTTTGCACATTTCATTATAATATTTGGCTTTTGCTTCTCGAGCTGCCCTTTGAAATTTCCTATTCAACTCTTTTATGTCCTCATTTCCTCCATTTGCTTTAGAAACTCTACGTTGGAAATCAAGTTTCAGAGTCTCTTCTGATACTCATTTTGGTGTTTTTCTTCTTTCTTGTCTTCTTACTGACCTTTTGCTCTTCCTGTATGATGTTCTGAATGTCATCCCACAACATCTCTCATTTTGGGTCTTTAGGTTCTAATGCATCAAATTTTTTCCTTATTTGATCTCTAAATTTAAGTGGCATATGCTCAAGGTTATATTTTGGCTCTCATGATTTGTTTTAATTTTCTTCAACTTCAGTCTGAACTTGCATATGAGCAGTTGATCGCCTGTTCCACAGTATGCCCTTGGCCTTGTTTTGATTGATAATATGGAGATTTTCCACTGTATCTCTTTGCACAGATGTAGTCAGTTTGGTTTCCATGTATTGCATTTGGCAAGTTCCGTGTTCAGAGTAATCTTTTATGTTGTTTAAAGTAAGTATTTTCAATGAAGAAGTCATTGGTCTTGCAAAATTCTATCATGTGATTTCTAGCATCATTTCTATCATGAAGGTCATTTATTCCAACTACTGATTCTTCCTCTTAGTTTCCAACCTTTCCATTTCAGTTGCCAATAATTATAAATAAACCTTGATTGCATTTTTTTTATCAATTTCAGACTGAAGAATTTGGTAGAATTTTTCAGTTTCATCATCCCAGGCTTTAGTGCTTTGTGCATAAATTTCAATAATGGTGATATTGCTGTTCTGCTTTTTAGTTGTATGAATATTATCCTATCACAGACAAAATTATACTTCAAGATAGATCTAAAACGTTCTTTCTGATGATGAATGTGGCACCATTCCTCTTTCAATTTTTCATTTACTGCAGAGTGCTTATATGTGGCAGATTATATGTGAATGTCAAATTCAGAGTGGCCAATATCAGTCCATTTCACCTTACTAATACCTAGGACATTGATGTCTATGTGTTCCATTTCATTTCTGACAACTTCCTGTTTTCCTAGATTCATATTTCACACATTCCATGTTGTGATTATTAATGGTTGTTTGCAGCTGTCTCCTCATTTTGAGTTGTACCCTCCATTAACAAATGAAGGTCCTGAAAACTTTGTATGTTGGCATCATCTTGGTCAACTGTAAGGAAGCAGCTCTTCCCAGTTGTATTTTGAGTTCCTTCCAACTTAGGGACTCATCTTCCAGCACTGTATCTGGCATTGTTCTAGTGCTGTTCATCATGTTTCAATATCCAGTATTCTTGTGCTGTCTGACAGTTGCCCACTGCTATTTGTAAGGTTTTCAGTGGCTAGACTTTTATAAGTGTTCTACCTCTTTTCCTTCCTAACCTGTCTTAGTTTGGGATGCTGATTGAAACCTAGCCACCATGGGTGATCCCTCTGGCATTCAAAATGCTGGTGGCATAGCTTTTAGCATCTCAGCAAACTGCAACCTGTCACAGTACAACAAACTAACAACATCTGTTGGTCCATCCAAATACTTTAACACTCAACCACATTCTTACATTCTCTTCTTGAGAGGCTTTGTTAAATGAGTTGTTGAAACTATAATGAATCATGCTTTTTTGTTTGTTTGTTTCTATTAATCACTATTACAGTGATTTTATAAATTATTTTTAGTCAAAGAAGACAAGTGACTTTAAAGCAGACTTCATGGCTGCCCTTATTCTCTTAGTGCTTACAAACTTTCATTTTTTTTAGATGCTTACGTCATTTCCTACTCATAATGACCCCTTGTACAACAGAATGAAACACTGCCCAGCCCTGTGCCATCCTCACAATCTCTGTTATGTTTGAGCTCATTACTGTTGCTATACTATCAATATATCTCATGGAGCGTCTTCCTCTTTAATGTTAACCAAGCATGATGTCCTTCTCCAGGGTCTGGGTCCTCCTGGTAACATGTCCAAAATATGTGAGACAAAGTCTTACCATCCTCACTTCCAAAGAGCATTATGGCTGTACTACATCTTCCAAAACAAGTTTGTTCACTCTCATAGGTGTCCAATGGTATATTCAGTATTTTCCAATATCATAATTCAAATGCATCAATTATTCTTCAGTCTTCCTTATTCATTGTCCAGGTTTAGTATGTACATGAAGTGATTGAACTACCATAACTTGAATCAGACACACCTTAGTCCTCTTAAAAGATGACACTTTGGTTTACAAACTAGTGCATACTAATATTAAATTGTATGTTGATCAAATACTTGTATTTCCTGACTTTTTTTTGAAAGATCTGTTTCTTGTGGGGAAAAACATGTATACTTGTATGTGTATTTACACATTTTGCTTACTAACACAGTTGCAGATTTAAACAACAACTAATTATTTTAGCCACCAATAAAAAAAATGATATAAATTAATAAAACAAATCATTTAAGTGCTATTCTGAGATTTCTCTCTTATCTGTTTCATTTGTAAATTCAAATCAACATGTGATTTGGGGAAGGCACTCTGCAAGTAGCTAAATTGCTTAGAGAAGATAGATACCTGCTCATATCTATAGGAGTGACATAAAACTAATCTTAATGTAACTAAAAGAAAGGGTTTCTCATTGTTCAAGACATTAATTGAGTTATTTCACTTCCAGGGTACTGATTGGTTCTCCTTTAGTTGGACAACCAAAGAACAGGACTGGAGATGTCTACAAGTGTCCAGTTGGGAGAGGTGAATCACTGCCTTGCATAAAATTGGATCTACCAGGTATGTAAAGGCAAAATACAAAATATTATGCAAAATCATGCCCAATTGTTGTTGTTGTTGTTAGGGGCCATGTAGTCAGTGCCGACTCATAGCAACCTTAAGCACAGTAGAACTAAACACTGCCTGATCCTGAGCCAACCTTACTATTGTTGCCACACTTGAACCCATTGCTGCTGCCACTTGGCCAATCCATCTCGCTTGGGGTCTTCCTCTTTTACTCTGACCCTCCACCTTACCAATCATTATATCCTTCTTCAGCGACTGGTTCCTCCTAACAATATGTCTGAAGTATGAGAGACGAACTTTGGCCATCCTGGCCTCCAAGGAGCACTCTGGCTACACTTCTTCCAACACAGATCTGTTTGTTCTTTTGGCATCCCATGGCACTTTCAATATTATCCTCCAACACCATAACTCAAAAGCATCAATTCTTCTATGGTATTCCTTATTTACTGTCCAGCTTTCACATGCAAATGAGGTTATTGAAAATACCATGGCTTTGGTCAGGCACACCTTAGTCCTCAAGCTGACATTTTTGCTTTTCAACACTTTAAAAAGGTCTTGTTCCGCAGATTTTCCTAATGCAATACATCATTTGAGCCCATTACTGCTGCCATTGTATCATTCCATCATTCCATGTCACTGGAGGTCTTCCTCTTTTCTCACTGACCCTCCACTTTACCAAGCATGATGTCTTTATCCAGGGACTGGTCTCTTCTGATAATATGACTGAAGTAGGAGAGACAAAGTCTGGCCATATATGTCTTCCTATATAGATTTGTTTGTTCTTCTGGTAGACCATAGTATTTTTAATATTTTTCTCCAATACAGTAATTCAA